TGTAAATATTTTTTTTGATCTCCACTTATGTTTCCCCTATAATATTATATGAAATAATTGAATTTCATTATGTGAATATGACAGTTACTAAATGTGTTGAGTCTGATAATTATATCTGTATGGTGAGATTCACCAATCTCAGTTATACTTTGTTTGGATAGAATGATTCAATGAGAAACGACAAGAAATTGTAATTAAATAACTCTTTTACTTTATCTGTTTCATTTCTAATTAAAAGTGGTTTGATTGGGTAAAAATTAGTTAAATGATTATAAAACATTTACAATATCGGGATTAATCATTAAAATGCAAAAAGAAGGAAAAAAAAAATCTCACTCATATCTCTCTCTCACTTATTTTGCTTTCTTATTCAGCAAACATGATAATGAAGAAATGTAATTATTTCTTTTTTTCTTATTTAGATAAGAGATTATAATCTCTCTTTTTTTTTCACTTTACGATCCAAACAAAGTATTAGTGTTCTTTTGTTAAATGGTGATAGACGTGTCCGTGATGATATGATGTCACTATTAAAGTTTTTTTTTTCTCAAGTTAATTTGTTAGCTTATTGTAAGTTAAAAGTTGAAACCAAAAAGTAAAAATCAAAAACACTCATTTTCTAGCTTACAGCTTTTCTAAAAATCGTACCACACAATTGGACACAAACACTTAAATTCAAATAAACTATACGTAACGCATATGAACTGTATCAAATAATACCAATATTATTTGAAATGTAATTTTATCAAATCAACCCTTTTATTAGAACCTTGAATATCAAATTTAGAAAGAGCCAATAACTACCATCATTATAAAAAATATAAAAAATAAGAAATTAGCAAGCTTGAGGTTTGTAGTTTAAAAAATGTTAGGGATTTCAAAAATTTTACTAAATGTCTCAAATGGGTGTGAGACCCACATGTGTAGGTCCCACACTCATGTGAAATATTTGATAAAATTTGTTGGATCTCTAACATTACTCTCGCCGTTTTCATCAGCAGTTTTAAGTCGTGTGAATTTCAAAGGGAAAAATATTGATACCTACTATTTAAGTTTTATACTTTGTTCACAAAGATATTGTATCTTATGAGTCAATTTTTTTATTTAAGGGCAACTCTCTTATCATATCATTGTAGATAAATTGTCTCTGCTATTTCCCATTCCAAAATGTCTAATTTTTAATGAAATAAGTGACTCATATTTGGCTTCTTTCTTTTTTTCCTCCCACTAATCTCAAGCTATTAAGGATATCCCAAGCATTCATAAGCATATTTACAACTTATTTCAAGAATTTTTGTAGAGAGTGATGTTAAGCACACACCTATTTACACTTTAAACACACAAAACTCTTCTTTATTAAGAGATTAGAAGTTCTAACTTCATGTACATGTAGATCTTTTCTTTAAATCTTACAATTGATTACAATCTAAATTCCAAAAAGTAAAAAAAGAAAGTTTAATGAACTTAAAAAAGTTAAATAACTTGGACCACAAAAATGTCCATCAGTAATGTCACACTTGTGGCTTTATATCAGTTAATACCTATTGTATAGGTCAATATGTAATAAATTTTAAATTTCAGATACTTTTATTTATCAATATAGTAGTTGATATTATTTGATAACGACCGAGATTTAAAATCATAATTTTATGTGCACTACAAACGATCAATATAATTTAAGAGTAATGCTATATAAATAGAAAAATTTATAGAAAATCAGTATAGAATGATGTAGTTGTTCTGTGGTCCTATCACTTGTACATAAATAAATAAATAAACCCACTAAATAGACTGTTAATTGTTAAAATGCCACATCATTTTGGTGACAAATTAAGTTTCAATTTTCTATAAGATTATCTTTTTCCTTAACTAAACACAAAAGGGACACTAAAAAAAAAAAAGTATTAAACAAACATCTAATTTAATGGAGGGGCTGTCCACCACTAAGGAACAGAAAAAATCTCACAAACTGATACCACACCATTCTCATCTTTATATCATCCCATCACTTACTCACTTTCAATTTTAGTCACACACATATTTTGATTAATCTAAAATTGTAAAACTCATTCAGATGACATCAATACATTTTTTGAACCAAAAAAAAAAGAAAATACAATTTTAAACCAATTAAATTATAAAAAAATTATTCATAAATCTCATATGGAGAAATATTGATATATTTAGTTCTAAGAGTTTTCTTATGAATCAATTAGTCTCTTTCATTTTGAAAAGTTATATTTATTTGATTTGGTATCATTTGAATTTAAGTGAATGTCCTTTTGTGATTTATTTTTCTAATTTTCTAATTCCTTTTTTGGGACGGGAAATGGAAAAGTGAGATGTAAAAGATTCTTTTTGGAGGGATTGGTGATTGAAGTGTTAGTTGTCAAGCGTAGAAATTTACGTTTCTGTTAGTGTGGTTTTATGGTATACATTGTAGTGTTATATTAGAGAGTTACATTTGGAGGGAAAAAAATACACTAAGGAGTTTTCGTGTGTTACGTTGATTGGAGTGTTACGTTTGAGAAAAATACACTAAGAAATTTTTTTGGAATATTACATTTAAGAAAAGTACACTAAAGAGTTATTTTAAAATGTTACGTTGTTACGTTTAAAAAACGTACACTAAAGAGTTTTTTAATGTTACATTGAAGTGTTACATTTTTTGACTGTTACATTGGAGTGTTACGTCTAAGAAAAGTATATTAAAAAGTTTTTTAGTATGTTATATTAGAATATTACGTTTTTAGAGTATTACATTGGAGTGTTATGTTTGAGAAAAATACACTAAATAATTTTTTTGAAATATTACGTTTAGTAATTTCAACATTATAAAAAAAAAATCCACATTTGTCGCTCAATACATAATACATACATGTTTATACTTGACCCTTTATATAATTAATACTAGAACATTGGAATCCATAAAATAAAAAAGAGAACCAAACAATCATAAAATCATTATTTAAAATTTATTGGTATTTCAGCCTTAAATTATATGTATTATTCATATAATCTGATAATGTGTGATCAAACTTAGTTCCTACCGTCATCACTGAGCTATGTTAACTATCACATACCCCCACTAAATTCAAATAACAAACTAAAAAGAATAATATTTGAGAGTTCTAATTTGAGAGCTCTAATGCAGCTTAATGATGTGGAGAGTGTTCATGTGAAAATAAAGCACAAATTCCTCTCTCTATCTCTACTCTCTCTCTTCTATCTCACTAAAACTTTATTTAAAGATCTAATATTAAAACTATGTATCATTACTGCACTAAAAAATGTTGGAAATGGTTATAAATTCTGGGTAAAAATCAGAATTTTTTCTTAAGTTCGGTCTATTTTTTAGGTAGGCCCCGAGTGTCAATTTACTCGGGTCAAAGTGGTAACGCGTTCTATGTCGCGTTGTGATTCACGTGGTATATTTGGTTGCTTAAAACCATTACCGAGTGAATGGGAATTTGAAGCCAAAGTGTGCTCCATGGAAATGGAGTTTTGGTGGAAATTCCTTAAGGTTGTAAATTGGCTTGTCCCACATTGATTTGGTGGGAGGTTTTGAAAGGGTTTATAAGGCTTAGGGTGAGATACTTGGGGTGTGCCCCAAGGGGTACCCAAGTGTTTTAGAGGGAGAGGTTATGGGCTAGGCCCATTGGACCCAAAAATCACCCCACGCGCGCGCGCGCCGCCGCCGGTCCGTCGGTCGGGCGGGCTGGGCTGGGTTTGGGCGCGGGTGCGTGGTGTGTGGTTGGGTTGGGCTTGTTCGGCCCAATACTAATCTTTTTGAGCAAAAAAAATTTGGATTTAATTTTATTTTTTGTAATAAAATATGTCCAGATGTCCAGAATTGAAATTAAATTGGTTTGGATTATTGTTCATCCAAACAAGGGCCCTTCCCGTTTTCAAACAGAATTAAACTGTTTTGGATTTATTGCTCATCCAAACAGAGCCCTTCCGTTTTCAAACAGAATTAAACTGTTTTGGATTTATTGCTCATCAAACAGACCCTTCCCGTTTCTATCTGTTTGAATAAACAGATTCAAATCGTTTAAATTTGATCTAACAGGTTTCATACCTGTCAATTCAAAACCAAAAGCACCTGACATCTATAAATAGACTAGCCTCCCATTTGGATTTCATTCCAATTTTCGTACTCATCCTCTCTTTAAATATTCTTCATCTTGCTGCATTTTATTTCCGAAAGAAAGAGTGTAAACACTTAGTGTGTTCGTAAGGCAAACAATTGCAGTGCTGCTATTGTTGTGGTAAGATCATTTCACCTGGAGATAGACGTCCAAATTCTGATAGCACCGTGGAGAGGACGAATCTGTTTTAAGGACACAGTGTTAAACACTGGACTTGATCAGAAAAGTTATTCAAATAAATTAACCAAGTAAGTTGTTTAATTTTATTCTGTTTTTTATTATGTTTATTTAATCAGATTTTATTTTTGTTTTTGTAACAAAATAAAATCTGTGATTTTATTTATTTATTTATTATTTCGAGTTTGATTTTTGTAATCAAACAAATTCTCTCCTTTTTCTTTATTTCTTTAAATTCTTATTGTTGTTGTGTACACAATAGAATTAAATCTTTTAAATACAGTGAAGATTGTCCTACAACAAACACTTAACAAGAGCAAAAATATTTTAGAACTCTAATTGGGGGTGGGTCCCACTGTAATAGTGATATTTATGTCTTGTTTTATTTTTTTTTTTTTTTTTTTTTTCTTTTTTTTTTCATATCATTAGAGTTCATTAAAATTTCTTTATTCAAAGGGATGTATCATTTTTTACCAAGAGTTCAACCAGCCATCCAAGTTTCCATCACTTGACATTATTCTCTGTTGACCAGCCATCCAAGTTTTCATCACTTGACATTATTCTCTGTTGAAATGACAACATGACATATACATACAAAAAAAAATGGTACACTATTATGTTTGCTCTCTCTCTCTGTTCTTTTTTTCTTTTTTTTTTTTTTTTTTTTTTTTTTTTTTTTTTGGTGGGCTCATGTTGATCTCAAAAACTAAATATATAATAATATCCCAAGCATGTTAGGTGTTTGTTGCTCAATATATATCACTACACAGGTTGGAGGAATTTTTTTGGAGCTTTAAGCTGGAGAGGTAACAATCTCTTGGAAACAATGTTCATTTCCAGCTTGTCAACAAGTAAGCTCTTTACACCCCCCCTATATGCTCTGTTTAGTTCACTGAAATAAAGCTTAATGAAACTATCTTTCCACCATAAGGTCAACAAGTTTTCTCAAGTTTAATTTACTAAAAAATAATATAAGTAAATATATATATATTACAAATCATTAATCATTTCATAAGAATATCGAGGAATGAAATCACCGCTTCATTCTATTTCATTTCATTCTAATTATCCAAACATTATGTTAGCACGACACATCAATCTAAAGTTTATTACCACCAATACCCATAGTAATACAACTGAAAATGCAACATGAAGAAGAAAAATCCTGTGATTTTACTTTTTTGCTGCTCATTTATGTGTAAATTGATAGCTAAAATTTACAGTAAGTAATTTTTGCTTTTTGTTTAATTCCTACTTTCTTTCTTTCATTTTTTTTCTTTCCAAGTTTTGTTTGGGAGTAGTAACAACTTCTGTGTTTTGAGTTTGCTGCAGTGATTGTCGAATGTGTTGTGGTATATGCTCCAAGTTTGATTCATACAGACGGAGAACAAAATTATTATAAAAAATAAAATATAAATATAATTTTTATATAAAATTTCTATCATTAGTGGCATTTTTTTTTTTGCATTTTTTTTTTTTTTATATTATAGCCACAAATGGGGGACTTTATGAAGTGTCAAAAAAAGATAATAACACATCCAGTAATATTAAAAAAATTTAAAATATTTTTTAAATTTACTTGTATTGACGTGGTAAGTAGTTGAATTTTAATTGATTTATTTCAAAGAAATCAACAATTAACATGTAACAATTTAATTATTAAAGTAAATTTAGATATGAGATTTTAAGAATTTTAAACATGTCTCACGTGTTCATTTGCACACCGGAACATACAAGGAACTATCATATAATTCTGAAATATCCCCGTCCAATAATATTTTATAATTTCTTCACTATTTTTTATTTTTCGAATCAATTAATTATTTAACTCTCTACTGTTAATTAGGCAAACCAACAACATGAAATTTCCATAAGAGAATAATTACTCTAAAGACACATCCCACACATCTACTCTCTGAGTGTGTTTTATATCATTCTCTATGAAAACTTTTTTTTTTTTGGTTCTCAAGAAATAAGACAGCATATACATATATAAAAGTATGTTTTGCATAGCATCATTCAATTCAAGAATACTATATATCCAAAAAAATTTACACAAAATTTTACTCGGAAAAATCAATAAATGGTTTAAATTTCATGAGAAATGCTATGGGGCTATACCACAAAATTTGTAATTTTACCACAAATTTGTAATTTTACCACAAAATTTCGTAATATCAGCTACAAAATGCATAATTTCACCACAAATTAGCATAATAAAAAATGTCGTAACTAAGTCACAAACTTTTGCAACATCAACTACAAAATTATAGATATTTTGTTACATCAATTTACGACGAGATTACACATTTTGTAACTGATATTACAAAATATTGTAATAAAATTACATATTTTTGTAATAAAGATATAATATGCACCCCTAAAAGGGTGCACACCATAGAGAGAATTTTTCTAAATGATTCTAAATATAGGTCTCAATATACAAGTAGTTTTATAATTTACAGCTAGCCCCCCCCCCCAAAAAAAAAATTTTCAATATTGTAAAGGTCTTGCTTCATGGATTGTAGGATTCTAAAGAATAATGTTACTAACATTAATTAGTGTACAAATAAATATATCTACTGACCACAATGTTAATTAAGTTCATGTCAAGTGATGGTTGCTATACACATATCTTGTGTCTTATTTCCGAACATGTAATTTACTTAGAAATATAATATCGAATAATTCTTTTTGTTTGTAATTGAAATATGAAAAACTTAGAAAATTCAAAATTCAAAAATACAGAGCCGAACATAGACAATTTGTTCAGATATTAAATACTGAACAATGTCAAATAATTCGGAAACACAGTGACGAATATATATATATATATATATAAAATTATAAACAAATTTCCGAATAAACATAATCTGCTCGGTATTGAATTTCTAAACATAACCTGTTCGGTATTAAATTTCTAAAAAAAATTTGAAAACCTATCGACCAAAAATTATGAAGATGGGCAGGAAACCTATATTCATTCTCTCTCTATATATATATAAATTAAAAATAAATAAAAATAAAAAACAGTTTGGAAATGTTTTATTTATTGTCTATTGTTGACTTCAATATAAAATAGAATGTAAGAATAATAGATTCAATGGAAATAGGGTTGAGTATGAAAGTGTAAAATGAAGAAGTGAGAAGAGAAGAGAGAATAAAAAATTCAGACTAATTATGAGATGGAGTATCCAAAACACTATGATTTGTACTTTTTTTAATATCAAATACTTTTTAGTCATTTTGAATAGGGACATAATAATCATTAAATTTTTTTATTAAGTTTGGGTGTCCAACCAATCTTTTGGACTGCAAATAGAGCCACCCATGATACATGCACTTTAGTGTAGTGTCTAGTGTCGTGTTTGATTCATCTAATTCCATGTCTTCTTCCATATCTAAAGACACGATAACACAACAAAATATTCATATATCTTAACATACTTCTTTTATTTTCTAGCATAAATAGCGTCCACAAGGTTCCATAGATCATTTCATGCATATACCCAATACATACCAAGTGTCCGATACAGGTATTTAATATATTTAGAAGGGTCTATGTAATAAACTATTATTATAAAAGAGCAACTGAAATACAAAGCGTAGAAATAACTTGCTTATGAATAATTTACTTTGCCAAAATTGTATATCACAAAATGCATTTTCTCAGGCAACGAGGCCCATAACATGGATCAACCAACTCTCTCACCACATAAAATGCATAGGCACTATTTACATATTAATGCTTGACAAAACAAATAAGCAACACACATGTATTACATATATAACACATAAAGAAGATTATTAGGAAACCTAAGCAACAAAAAAATGTGATCTAGAAAACAGGTAAGGTAAGATAGGACAGACAGTTGGCCCAGTAGTCCATGTGGACAATAAGGTCACAAGTTCAAGATTTGAGTCGATTGAGTAACTGCGGACCTTTCATTGTAATCTAACTTACTAACCGACTAACATCTTATCCTTTGCCAAAAAAACAAAACAAAAAAAACAAAACAAAAAGGAACAGGTAAGGCTTAAGTGCACAGCTTCAGAACTAAATCAAGCCAATTTAGGGTTTCAGCCAAATATTCAAAGTTCCTGTATTCAATATTTATCCAAATATAAATGGTAAGTACAATATAATTTTGGAACCTTGATGCAGAGAGAAGTGGAAGATGTCCTGTGCTAAATACTTCAGGAGATATGCTGGATATACAAACACGTGTCATCCAGTACACTTTTGTTCATTGTAACAAGCCTGTCCTGACCGTGCAATCCTAGAGCCACATATCTTCCTGTCATTTTAACAGGAACACCCCTTAGGCAACACAGAATTGTGCAAAATTAGTCGAATTGCAGCTATAATATTCTATCGAAGGAAATCAAATTTCATGTTGAGTTAATGCAAAAATTCCTGATCAATCATACAATTTGCAATCAAAGATTGGTATGCACTGCACGGATGTAGTAAAGGCCAAAAGGTAACAGAAACCAGAAAAATATATAAAGTAGACAAACAGATCAACCAAATTGCCCAAGAAATCTGTAAGACAACTTATCAACCTCCCTCTTAAGACATGCCTTGTACTAATATTCTTCCGTGATGTTTGGCAGATATCAAGATCCTTAAGTTACAGCTAGGATGGCCGCAGCTAAGCTCACCATGCTTATGGGACGAAGCCAGCATACTTCTGCAGTTGGGGTTCCTTGGAATCTTACTAGTTCACTTTGTGTGGAAAACTGACGATTCATTATGCAAACATAGAAAAAAGTCGACAGGCGCAGAAAAATATCCCATTGGCATAAAATATGGCCTCTCTTACAAAGTCAGCATAGCGGGCTCCATTATGCTACTGGTAATACATCTCGTGATACTACTGACTCAGCAAAACCAAAATGGGGCACAATGCAAATCTAAAGTCCCAGTTCTTTCATCACAGATCATGCAAGTTATAATATGGGCAATTACGTTGTTCACTCTAAGCGAGGTTCCCAATAAAAAGTACACCAAGTTCCCTTGGATTCTAAGAACCTGGTGGGCTTGTAGCTTCTTACTGTCTCTTGGCCGTACAGCTATTGATGCCCGTTTCATAATAATAAGTCATGACCGCGTTAAAGTACACAATTTTGTTGAATTGCTTGGTCTTCTCACATCGACCAGCCTATTGAGTATTTCAATTAGAGGAAAGACTGGCATTGTCTTCTATGTTGTGAATGGCATCACGGACCCACTTCTCAATGGCAAAGCCGAGAAGGGTTCAGAAAGCAAAAGGAACTGTCTCTATGAAAAAGCTACTTTCTTCAACCTCATTTCCTTCTCATGGTTGAATCCTTTGTTTGCTGTTGGGATCAAGAAACCCCTTGACCAGAATGAAGTCCCCAATGTTGACATCAGAGACTCTGCTGGATTTCTATCCCATTCCTTTGATGAAAGTCTAAAGCATGTCCAGGTGAGAGACAGAACCACAAACCCATCTATCTACAAGGCGATGTTTGTGTTTATCAGGAAAAGAGCAGCAATTAATGCATTTTTTGCAGTGACAAGTGCAATAGCATCATATGTTGGCCCATACCTTATTAACAACTTTGTAAACTTCCTAAATGAAAAGAAAACTCGAGGCTTAGGGAGTGGATACCTTATAGCACTAGGCTTTCTAGGTGCCAAAATGGTTGAGACAACAGCAGAGAGACAATGGATCTTTGGGTCTCGCCAGCTAGGTCTTCGGCTGAGAGCTGCTCTGACATCATGCATATACAAGAAGGGCCTCCTATTATCAAGCCAATCCCGCCATGGCCACTCCAGTGGAGAGATCATCAACTACATGAGTGTGGACATCCAAAGAATCTCCGACTTCATGTGGTACTTGAACACCATCTGGCAATTGCCTATACAAATCTCCTTAGCTATCTTTATTATACACTCAAATTTAGGGCTAGGTTCACTGGTGGCACTAGCTGCAACTTTGGTAGTGATGGCTTGCAACATACCAATTACTAGAGTGCAGAAAACATACCAGTCTAAGATCATGGAAGCCAAAGACGGTAGAATGAAAGCCACTTCAGAAGTTCTCCGAAACATTAAAATCCTCAAACTTCAAGCATGGGATAATCAATATCTTCACAAGCTAGAAAGTCTGAGGAAAACAGAATATAATTGCTTATGGAAGTCACTAAGATTGTCAGCAATATCGAGTTTTATCTTTTGGGGATCACCAACATTTATCTCTGTGCTGACTTTTGGGGCATGTATGTTAATGGGGATTCCACTCACAGCTGGAAGCGTCCTGTCTGCACTGGCCACATTTCAAATGCTACAAGGCCCAATATTCAATCTACCTGATTTACTCTCTACAATCGCGCAAAGCAAAGTCTCTGCAGATAGAGTAGCTTCTTACCTTCAAGAAGATGAAATTAAATTGGATGAAATTGAATTTGTTCCAAAAGATCAAACAGAATTTGAAGTTGAAGTCAATGGTGGAACATTTAGTTGGGAGGCTGGATCAAGAAGCCCAACCCTTGATGGAATACAGTTACGAGTGAAGAGGGGTATGAAGGTAGCTATTTGTGGCACTGTAGGATCAGGGAAGTCCAGTTTGTTCTCATCCATGTTGGGAGAGATGACAAAACTGTCTGGGACAGTGAAAATCAGTGGTACAAAGGCTTATGTTCCCCAGTCCCCATGGATAATGTCAGGGAATGTCAGAGAGAATATTCTCTTTGGAAATCCTTTTGATAGTGCCAAATATGACAAAATAGTCAATGCCTGTGCTCTGACAAAGGATTTCGAGTTGTTCCCTGCCGGTGACTTAACAGAAATTGGAGAAAGAGGAATAAATATGAGTGGAGGCCAGAAGCAAAGGATACAAATTGCCCGTGCAGTGTATCAAGATGCTGATATATATCTGCTTGATGACCCTTTCAGTGCCTTGGATGCCCATACTGGCACACAACTCTTTGAGGTTAGTTTCTAGAATCTAAATGTTAAGGTTGATAGTTTAAAATGAGAATAAAAATAACTAAGAATGTCTCATACAGTCTCTGAATCTGAATCAACAAATTTTGGTGACTTTGAACACTAACTTGTTTATATACTCCGCGCAGGACTGCCTGTCAGGGATTCTCAAGGACAAGACCATACTTTATGTTACACACCAAGTTGAATTTCTCCCAGCAGCTGACCTCATTTTGGTATATAGGAAATATCCCCTTTTCAGTTTTGAGTCAATAAATTATGGTCATACTAACTTAAGGATTCATTTAAACACAAAGAATATTTCAAAATTTTAGTGTGATCACACGATAGACATATTTATACAGAAAGTTTAATATTATGAGAATAACAGTTGAGTGTCAATAAAAAGCAAAGTGTTTTTTTTCCGTGAAAAATGAAGACGTATTCTCAAAATATGAATTAAAATATTTGAAAACTATTTCATATTTCAGGAAATTGGCAAGAAATTTTCCTGTTTATCTAAATGATCAAATTTTGCAACATATCTCTAGTGAAGATATAGGCTAAAATTAAGGAATTTTTCACTATTTTGGAGATGCCAGTGCAAAATTGATGATTACATACAGTTTATAGGATAGGGTATCTATCACATTATAACAATAAAATTCCAACAGGTGATGCAAAATGGAAGAATTGCACAAGCTGGAACATTTGAAAAACTTTTGAAAGAAAATATTGGATTTGAAGTTTTGGTTGGAGCTCATAACCATGCTCTAGAATCTGTCATAACAGTTGGAAATTCAAGTAAAGAATCTCAGAATGAAATACCTGACGATGAATTCAGTGAAGACCTCACATCAATTGGAGAACTTGAACACACCAAGCCCAACTTGGAGAACAAACCCTGTGTAGAGATAGCAGAAAAGGAAGCAAGATTGGTGCAAGATGAAGAGAGAGAAAAAGGAAGCATTGAAAGCAAAGTTTATTGGTCTTACTTGACTATTGTGAAGGGTGGCAGCTTAGTTCCAATCATAATTCTGGCCCAGACAACGTTCCAAGTTTTACAAATAGCCAGTAATTACTGGATGGCATGGGCTTGTTCAACAGGTGGCGCTGAACTAATAGCAGGGACAAATTTTATATTGCTAGTTTATACATTTCTTGCTGTTGGAAGTTCAATTTGTGTGCTGATCCGAGCCATGCTAGTGGCAATTGCAGGAATTCTGACATCACAAGAGCTCTTTACCAACATGCTTCATAGTATCCTTAGTGCTCCAATGGAATTCTTTGATTCAACCCGAACTGGAAGAATTTTAAATCGGGTGAGTAAGTTTTACTTAATTTGTTTCCGACACCCTCTTAGAAAAAAGAGTGGGAGGTACAGCACATCAGTATCATGGCAAACTTTCAGTCTAGTCTAAAGCATATTCAATGTTTATCATAGAATTTGGAAGTATAGCATTAGCATCATTATCTAGAGAGAGAAAAAAAAAAAAAAAAAAGAAACAGGTTTTGTAAAATGGATGAACAGAAAAACTTGAAGCAATTAGAAATCATGGTCAGAAGCTCAATAATACATAAATTTTTACAATATTCAATGTTTATCATAGAATTTGGAAGTATAGCATTAGCATCATTATCTAGAGAGAGAAAAAAAAAAAAAAAAAAAGTAACAGGTTTTGTAAAATGGATGAACAGAAAAACTTGAAGCAATAGAAATCATGGTCAGAAGCTAGTTTGCATCTACAATGTCAAAAAAAATAAAACTTAGAAAGTAACTAACGAAAGCACATGAAAGCTTAAAAAACTATCTATTTAAGCTTACTACCAATTCAAAAAACTCTTTGTCAAAGATCAATTCGGAAGTAAAGATTAGAAAGTTCACAATTTTAATTGGAAAGACAAACATACAAATAAAGAAAGTCTTAAATTCATGTCACTAACAATGAAATATGAATCTGTTAATAAAACTACAGTTTCAGATGAAACCTTCACAAAATGCAAAAACATCTATGGCTAAATGTAGTGAAGAAAATCCAAAGTCTTCCGGACATAATATCACCCATTCAAGTAAAAATCATATAAAACATTTAATTTTCATTTCTTTTTCTTCTCTTTTTCCTTTTTTTTTTTTAAAAAAAAAAAATCAGAAACAATCAATTACAAACTCATTAGTGTATTATCCAACCTTCAAGAAAGGGTGACACCAGTCATAATAAACTTCGTGTTTTATTGTTACTATTATCTTACCAGCAGCACCAAGAGAGTGAATTAAAATCATTTTAGAGGTTATCAAGGGGACATCCAAGTTGGTTATACACCAACATGATTTCCTCAAAGACCAGGGTCCAAGCCCAGGTATCCAAGTTAATTAGGAATTCATATAATTTGGAATTATTAAATTTAACTAAAAATAAATGTAAAAACCAAATAAAAACAATAAAAAAAAATTTTAAAAAACAAAAAACAAAATGCAATGGATACTAGAAGTCCAAAAGTACAACTGTCCCGCTAGAAGGTAAAGACTTCCTTTGAGGTAGAGAATAAGGTAGCTCTAGTCCTCCATTCTTGCAATTCCAAAAATTGGCCATTGCTTTCTACTGACTGCAGTTCAATTATTTAGTCAAATCTCTACCCTAGATAGGATAAAGAAAAAATATATAGATTTGATTTTGCAGCTTTCAAGGTGAAGATCAGGCCAATGATATGAGTTTTGTTAATTCATTTTCACCAGCTAAAAATTAATATATAATTTAATAGATTTGGTTTTTCCACATTTATATGTTGTGTTCAGAAGAACCTGAAAAAATACATCTAATTGTTTTTATTCACAGGTATCTACAGACCAAAGTGTACTAGACTTGGAGATGGCAACCAGATTAGGTTGGTGTGCTTTCTCAATAATTCAGCTTCTGGGTGCAATTGTTGTCATGTCACAGGTAGCATGGGAAATACTTGTCATCTTCATTCCAGTAACCGCAATCTGCATATGGTACCAAGTAAGATGTTTCTTCCTCCATTGGTTTTACCATCAAAATAAAAGATAGAGATCTCTTGAAATCAAATCACAAATGATAAGACAACAAAGGGAGTCATTTCTTGAAAACCTTGTAGTACTACTACAACGAAATTTCCAAGAAAGAAAATAAAACCTCCTGCAAATGCACTAGAACACAAAAGGCACACATTAAATGCCACAAAAGAAAAAATAATATACGAAACAAGAAATTCGGTCATTTTGTTCATGTAGATTTTAGATTCGACCTTAAAAGAATTTTTCGAATGCTATTGACAGTAATCTAATATTTGTTGGTGATAATTTCAGCGATATTACACACCAACTGCAAGAGAACTAGCCCGATTAGCAGGGATACAACTAGCTCCAATTCTCCACCACTTTTCAGAATCACTCTCTGGAGCAGCAACAATCCGTGCTTTCGGCCAAAAAGACCGCTTCATTGATGCAAATCTCAACCACATTGACAATCACTCAAGGTCATGGTTCCATAATATGGCAGCAATGGAATGGCTATCTTTCAGACTGAACCAGTTATCTAATTTTGTTTTCGCCTTCTTATTGGTTTTGCTTGTGACCCTTCCAGATGGAGTTATCAATCCAAGTGAGCATCGCAGTTTTTTGTTTTTTGTTTTTTGTTTTTTGTTTTAATTTTTTGTGCAGGGAGTTCTTATGGTAATATATATGCCTTGCATATAAGTAACCTAAACTAAAAAGTAGGAGTTTAGACAAATCTCCCGAACAGTACCAACCAAGGAGTGGGTGCTACTCCAATGCACACACACCATGCGTCAAGGTGAATTGGATATTTTACTTAATCAGTATCAGTCTACTTGATGCTCTACTTAATCAGCATTCTAGTTTCAGATCAACACACATTAGTTTCCATTTAAAAGCAAGCAACACATAGAGAACTTATTAGAAATTTGGATATTCTACAGGCATTGCAGGATTGGCTGTAACATATGGAATTAATCTTAATGTTCTGCAAGCTGTAGTTATATGGTGCATATGCACTGCAGAAAATAAAATGATATCGGTTGAAAGAATTCTTCAGTACTCAAATATTACCAGTGAAGCACCTCTGGTGATTGAAGATTGCAGACCACCAAACAACTGGCCAGAAATTGGAACAATTTGTTTCACAAACTTGCAGGTAAGATATAGCAAGATGTTATATGTCAGAACAAGTTCAGATAATTTCACAAAAGTTATCCACATAAAAAAGTTCCATACATATGACAAATATGAGAACAACTTCCACAAGATTACAATTTATTGTTTATTAAAAGCGTAGAAGCATAGATACTTCTAAGAAGATAAGGTGTTGTGTCGGACACTAACATGACACGATACTCACTAGACACTTCCCAATACTTGGACACACAAAAAACACATTACAAGTTTGAATAAAATAACTACGAAATTCAATGACAATAAAAATAAAGTCAGTTTATACCTATTATCGTCTTTTAGACTTTACAAATATTATTTGAGTTAATATTTATATACATGACATATAATAAATATAGAAAATTATATATTTTGCACGTGTACCCATGTGTCATGTCCTACATTCTTTGAAAATCCCCAAATCGGCATGTCAGTATTGTGTATGTGTCCGTATCCGTGCTTTTTAGATTAAAAGTCCATTCACACATATGCATATTTGCTGATGCATAAGTAATGCTTGTATTTTCAGGTTCGTTATGCTGAGCATCTCCCATCCATATTGAAAAACATTACCTGCACATTTCCAGGAAGGAAGAAAGTTGGTGTTGTAGGAAGGACAGGGAGTGGGAAATCAACCCTCATACAGGCCATTTTTCGGATCATTGAACCAAGAGAGGGAAGCATTATAATTGATGATGTAGATATTTCCAAGATAGGCCTTCATGATTTGAGATCAAGGCTTAGTATCATACCACAAGACCCAACTATGTTTGAGGGTACAGTCAGAGAAAATCTTGACCCACTACAACAATACTCTGACAATGACATATGGGAGGTAGATATTGCCCTTGTAAACATAGCACCAATGAGCTATTATGTTATTTATGCAAATCTGCTCAAATTTATTTTTACTTTGTCAGTAAGGACACAAAAATAGATATACATCCACTTCCACGGGGTTGGTCTGTGTACTAAAAAAGCCGGTTTAATGGCAATTACTCATGAATCAGGATAAGTTTGGCATGAGATTAAACAACAGGAATAGGCGGACATGTAGGCAAAAAGAGAACCACACCTCAAACCGAATTATCCAATATAATTTATATGCTGTTACAATTTGAATTTGTAATCCCCAAAATAACTCTATAATCTTTTAGGTCCTCAACAAATGTCAACTAGGTGGCCTGGTGCGTGCAAAGGAAGGGAAGCTAGATTCTACAGGTTAGATTCATCTTTTTATACTGTTATCCATGGTTCAACTGAAAATCTTTGCTAGCGAAAAACGATTAAATATGATTCTCACAGTGATTGAAAATGGAGAAAATTGGAGTGTGGGACAAAGGCAGTTAATTTGCCTTGGAAGAGCTTTGCTGAAGAGAAGCAGTATTCTAATTCTAGATGAAGCAACAGCATCAGTTGATTCTGCAACTGACACAGTGATACAGAAGGTTATCAATCAAGAGTTCAGAGATCGGACCATTGTCACAATAGCTCACAGAATCCACACAGTTATAGATAGTGATCTAGTATTGGTCCTTAGTGAAGGTAATGCACACACAAACACATTTTTCTGCGCCTTAATTGACCTTGCATTTAATCTGAAGGTTAATGAATTAAATTAAATTACTTCTGTGAACAGGAAGAATAGCGGAGTTCAACACACCAGCTAAGCTACTGGAAAGAGAGGATTCTTTCTTCTCAAGACTAATAAAGGAGTACTCCATGAGATCACAAGGTTTCAACAGCTTAGCAAGGTTACATAATTGAATCAGGTTCCCACAGTTCTAGAATGAAACTTGGAGGGCCATCCCATGGAAGAAAGATTATCAGTAAAAAATGAGGGATTAAGTAAGAAAACTTTTTGAGTGATCTCTCAGCTACTACACCGGAGACGAACTGATAGCCTTGAGTGAAGTGGCACCTATGTTAGTGGCTTCTACGATAAGAGACAGCAAGCCTGAAATCATTCTTCATTCTGACTCAGCATCTCTGAGTCTTCAATTTTGATGGAAGAAAAAATAAAAATACTCTTTGCTATTTTGTAAGAAATCTACTAAGATTGTTAGCAAACTTTCGGTAGTAATATTGGCGTGGAACAGAATTTGTTGAATCCTATGCTTCCAAGTAGAAAAATTAGTGTCATGAAAGTCTTTCAGTTTTGCTTAGTTCAACACTAGCAGCTCTTGAAGCCATATAGACTCTAAATAACAAAATAAATTATTAAAATGAGAGTAGGTGAGAATGACCAGTTCAGGCTTTAAAAAATTTTGCCAAAAATGTGTTTGATATCAACTTCAATAGCTTTAAAGTGATCCTAGTAGGCGCAATCAACCCTTGTAATTCTTCAATTTGATGCCCAATGTGCCATGACAGTGTGATGCCTTGCTGTCCTTCCCTTTTCTGTTCTTCAGCATGCGGAGCTGATCCAACTCTTTTTTCTTTTTATCTGGTGGCAAAACAATCATTACAGAGACGAACAAGAAGGTGACCGCCACAGTGCTTCTTCACAATTGTATGTCCCAAAGTCAGAATTATGAGAACAAAGAAGTCTTGGAGTTGAGTTCTGGCAGTTCGTACGATTGGAAAGAAAATACAAAAGATGGAGAAATAATAAAATAGTGAATGGAGATAATGTTCCATGTTTGTGCCTTGTGAGGTTGGAAGAGATGACATGTAAATAAAATACAGTGTAATAATGAAAGAAAGAACAATCATAACACAGGCTCTGATACTAATGAAGTGCCCACCTATAGTTGTAGAATGCATATAAAGGAGATAACAAGTTTGCTTTGTTTATCTTTCGAGTCAATTTCAAACGAGCTACAATTAAACTAATCACAAGCTGAGCTCTATCTTGGTTTTTTATACAGTTCTATAGTGCGCATAAGCTTATTAGATCAAGTTCAAACTGAGCTCAGAAAATTAACGAGTTTAAAATGTGTTCAAACATGGTTTGTTAATCTCAACCGAGCCTTTAACAAGCCAAACACAAGTCGAACTCAAGTAACTCAGCGCATTTTGCAGACCTACTGAAGCAGGCAACAAATATAATCTGAAAAAAATAGCATCTAAAGCCACACACAATAGATTTTCTCCATATTTTTTATGATATAAATGAAGGAAGCTAATGCAGGGCTACAAGACAAGTGTCCAAATATCAAGATTTTAAACCCATCTAAAGCATTATTTAGTAACAAATCAAACTTTCAAGATATGAAACAAACTAACCCAAACTTATTAGGCCAGTTTACCAAAATGTGAAAAATAAAATGTAAACCTTACATACATGTACTAGATAGAAAAACAATTCCCTCCAACAAAACTCATCTATGAGGATATACAAAACTTTGCACCAACAGACCTACATAAACCATAAACTGAGCCCAACCAGAACGGTAAGTTTCATCAGTAGATTTGCACAGAAAAAGGAAATATCAAAGCTCGGTTTTCAAAAAAATTATTTGCAATCCTGCTTATGAGCCATTAGCAATATGGCAGCAATGAAGGCTAGGGAAGGGACACCACTTATGAGAATTCGTCAATCAATGCCCAAGCTAGCATATGGTTCAAAGCCACCCTGACAATACGAAAAAACCGCTATGATTAATTCTATACACTTGCATTTTCTTTTAAAGTGAATGACAAAGCAATTTAAAGATCTCAATTTAAACATGATAAACTAGACTAATATAACTATCAGAGTTAGAACTCAAAATTAGACAAGTTACTAGCATGGCACGAGGCACAACAACGAAATTCTGCTTAATAAATTCAATCGATAATTTTATTAATCCAATTATACTGAGAGACACTACTCACAGAGCAATCATCATGAACACCCCATATGGTCTTGCCCAATAGGTTTGCCACAGACAAGACTGTCAGCTGGGGAAAATAGTTATGCTCCAACACTGGAATGGTATTTGTTATGAGATCACCTCTTGAAAAATACCTTTTGACAAACTTTCTATTGCAGCAGGGCTGCAAAAACATAAATTAGAATTAAAAATTCTGGATAACCAACAAACAGATGAATGTAATTATATACTTCAGTACATTGTGCAAAGTCCTCTAGTTTTTAAATAAAGACATGAGTAATTGGTTTTCCAAAAGAATTTAGTGACAGTAACCCTCTATAGATCATAACTAGGGCTCATATAAATGATTTTCCTTATTCATTTACATGCAAGGAATACTATTGGTTAAATAAATGCTTGTGTCAAAGTAAAGGTGTTTGACAGAACACTAAAGTGATGAGATGATCTATACTATTCTATTCGGTGAAGAGTTTGGTTGTGTCTAATTTTATGTTCAAACATAAATAAGTAAATATAAATAAAAATAGATAGATAAGAGAGTGGGACTCGAACATAATAAGATTATGGGTCAGATAAAGAAGATCTTACAATTTGAATGACACACAATATATAATAAATATTTTATTTTATTTTTACTTATTTAAATTGCACACATGTACCAACAGTTAGTTTTAATAATGGCAGCAGCATAAATTATTTTTTCATCATATATACAGAACTATTATATACAGCCCTCATTTGTCATGAGGCTAAAATGAGGTTGGAGCTGAAATAGTCGCAAAAATACAAAGCCTCCGTTTGGGAAGTCGGTTGGCTTTTTGGCTTTTTTGACTATTTTAGCCTGGGGCTAAAAAGCCTGATTTGGGAAGGACTTTTTGACTTTTTGGTGAGATGGCCTCCTATTAATTTACCAAAGTGCCCTTGATCCACATGTACCTGTAATTCAAAGATTTTGGCATCCACGTCAGCTTCCCAAACGGTCCACCAATGTTGTTTTTTTTTTTTATTTGTTTTTTATTTTTCTCTTATTTTCGGTTTTGATTTGCCGTTTTTTGCTACCTTTTTTTTTTTTTTTTTTTTTTTGGGTTTTTATTTTGGGTTTATTTATTTTTTGCTTAAATTTTTTTTTATTTTTTTTAAATTTATGTTTTTGTCATTTATATTTTTTTATACATTAATTAGTTCTTGTTCTTTAATTTACGTTCTTTAAATAATTTAAAATGTTAATATTTTTAATTTAAAAACAACTCGATACTCAAATCGTAACTAAATATATAAAACAAAACTTAATTAAAATTTTATTTTAATTTTATTATATTTTTTTTTTGTATTTTAAATATTTAAATAATGTAAATATTCTAAAAAATTTACCTTGGAAAAAATTTAAAATAAATATTCAAAAATTTTACTTCGTAAAAATTTAAATAATTTAAATATTCAAAAAATTATTTTAACAAACAAATTTAAATATTCAAAAAATAAAAATAATTTAAAATATTAATATTTTAAATTTAAAAATAACTTTACACTCAAATCGTAAACAAACACGTAAAATAAAACTCAATTAATAAATTATTGTTAATAATTTATGTATTTTAAGTTTTTTTTTTTTTTTTGCAAATATTTTTTCATGTGTTTTTTATTTTTATTTTTATTTTAATTTTCGGTGAAATGATTGTGAGAACCAGAATATAAAAATTAAGTAAATAATAATAATAATAATATTACAATCTCAAATATTTTGATGGTGAATTCTAAAGTGTAAATTAAATATTTGGAGGGTCTTTTAATTAATTTTAAAACCTAAAATAAATTTATGGTGAAAGTCTTCAATTTAAAGGCAAGATTTATTATTTAAAAAAATAAATATATAAATAAATAAAATAAAATTAAGTGTCAAATTAGTAAACATATTTTGATCTAATAGTAGTTGTATTTTATTTAAATTAATGGGAAGAGAAAATAAATTAAAACAAAAGTTAATATTTTGGGGCCTTTTGTGTAGATACATATGTAACCCTAGGTTGCCTAATACAATATAAAAACAAAACAAAACCCTACAATCTTATTTGCTCACCCCAAGTTAGCAGCAGCCGTTAGTCAAAAAGGGAGGGGAAGAGAGTGGCAAGCAGGCACACCATTAGGTTTCAAGTGAATTCATTGTCTTGGGTATGCATTTTTCACCATCTTCCTTCCCTGTTTTCTTGATTCATTATTATCTATGATCATATTTTCGTTGATTGAGCATTGTTGTGAGGAAGCAGTGCAATAGTATGGTGGTTGATTGGGATTTTATTAATATTTTTAGTGCTCAAACAAGTAGTGTTGATGGAATTTTAGAACAAGCAACACATGGGGTATAGGTTTTCCTTTTGTGAATTCTAGTGATGGGTTCTCCACTGTTGAAAGTGCTATAGTGGACATTAAATGGCTGTGCATAGTTAAGTGTTGTGTTTGAAGGTTGTACCAGTTGAGTTTCGGGAAATAGGAATCTAAGTGATAACTTAATAATGGAGTATTTCTTAATACAAAATAAATAAATAAATAAATAAATAAATTCTGTTCAGAACAGCAAACTTTAGAAATCAAGAAACCATATCAAACGAATGAATTTTAATCTGAAATTTTTACAGTAGATTAATTACATACTGAATTGTATATCTGAATTTTTTCATAATTTTTGGGAGTCAAAATCCATATAAATTGAGGTATTCAAATCTGTCCAGGAAACCAGTCCGAAACAGTAAATTCGGGAGTGTTGTTCTCTTTGGGTATAAATCCAAAAATTATCAAATTAGTGTAATTAGAACCGGTTATGAGTCTAGTTGTTGAGGAACATAACTACAGTGTTGTAGTCGAAGTAGTATAGTCCCTTCAGGATACATAGAGGGACATTTTGATGACATTGTGAACTCTCACCGACACTATTATGGCCATGGCATCTAGGCCAACACTAGCACAGGCGCCTCCGACTATTGCAATTCCAAACCGAGCGCCTAACCTGCACCTTGAGAGTTAGGCTCTAATCCAAGTGCCTCTGATAGTACCTCAGGGGAATGGTACGGCTGCTGGTTCAGCTACCCAAGAGCATGCTAGTCTCTATCAGCCCACTTACTTGGTCACTCTAGCCAACATCTAGGCGATGCTTGAGCAAAAGCGTAGCAAGAAGCAGCTGCCATCATGGTTTCCAAGCTAGATGACAATGACATACTTCTTTCATTAAACAAAACTCAAATAGTTAATGTTTTTTGGCAAAATCATTTTACATAAAAAATTACTTTTACGATATAAAATATTTTACATCAAAACAAATGCAGCCTTAATTTTTAATGATTTTCTCATTTCTT